AGGCATTTAAATTCTGCAATTGAAGCTCTAGCTAGTACTTAAAGTTTTTTATTATCATATGAAAGAAAGAAACATGGCCTGCTATTTAATATGAATATAGAATACCTTGCCGTTAATGCTATGCTTCACAACCAGCTCTATTATATCCAGTATTTTGACATTGTTGACATTGAGTTAGTTTTCTACCTTTTGGTATTTCCGAATGTTCTTTAGTTTTTTTATTTTTGCTTTCGAATTCATGGAATCCTTTAAGTCGCTTTTTTCTTGAAGCGCCTCTTTTCGAGCGAACAATTGGGTTTTCAACCGCAATAAAACCTTCTTCATCACTGGAACTATAACTTGAACTAGTCTCATTTTCATATTCATGTTGCCTCTTGTTCTTTTTATGAATCGGAGTTTCTTTTTTTTTTGATGTGTACTTAGTAATAAAACTGTTCATAAAATTTTCTAGTTCTTGTATGGTATTAGAGCCAGCATCTATCCCAGTTTGAATTGCCTTTTTAGACAATCCATTAATCGTTACATATGTTTTGCGATAGTTAACTTGTTTATGAATATCGCTAAAGGAAACACCTGGTAAACAAAAAGATGCATGAGGAAAAGATTGTCCAGAATTTTTTTTATCCGCATTGTTATTATTAAAACCAATAATAAAAGGTTGTTGTCGTGTTTGTAATTCTGATTCGAGTTGCTTTTTGTTATTATACCATCGCTTTGGTATAAGCATTATGTGAAATGCAGCGTAACTAGACACAGTCATGACTTGTAAAAAGTGTCTACAAACAAAGCCATTTTGTACTAAACCAAGACACGTGCACAAGTGCGAATTGTTTTTGAACAATATAACGTAATTTTTTGCTTTACGCCTGTGTCGAGTGACCTCCCAAATTTCAAGAACAGATTCACTTTCTGATGATGATATTAGTTCTTTAGCTAAAATTGCAGGTGTATCCACAGAATCTTCAATAAAAGTATTAATCTCAATTGAATCTATTTGTTCAGTTATC